TGAAGATTTACGTTACATGTATATCCCAGAACGTTATCTGTCGGAACCACCACTGATAGCTTTTACCAGTTTATTAACAACTAATAATGAATCCACCCTACGCAATCTAGCTCTCTATGTTAAATATGCATATGTTTTTTCACTCTCTTTCGGCTCGACAGAGAAAAAACCCTTGTCGGGCTATTCCGAACAGTCTTGTCGTACTATTCCGACCAAACGGTTTCCATTAAAAACTTACTTCGATTGATGGTAAAGCGTTGTTTTATTATTTGTTTGTTTGGGTTAAAAGCACAGGGGCTTGTAACGCTAAAAACTGTCATCAAGGTATGTACTGTCATTGACGGGGTCTTAGCACTATATAAAAGGAAAGGGATGTAACGAGGTCAACACACCAAGTTCGTTTCAAGGCGAATTCAACAATGCTCACTGTATTTATCCTATCTAAAGTATGCACACATTTCAGGCCAATAGATTTACCTACAAAATAAGACATACAGCACAAAAGTCGAAGCAGCACTTTAGGAACTAGGGTCTTCGGATGCTCGAAAAATCGTGATTTCTCGATTCCGAGCCAAAACCCCTGCTCAGAATTTGTAGCGGTTACTCACCCAGTTTTTTGTTTATTTCACAGTATACACACACGACATTCACCAAAACATGTTGAATTGATGGCGCCTGTCAGCGCGCTAGTCGCCATTCTTTCGGAGACCCTTACACCTCACTGTCATAATGAGTTTACGTACATTTATTCATCGCAAACAGAATTGTGTCGTGCCCGTTCGCCATTGGCGACCTTGGCCTTAACCTGCCCCGCACTAAAAAGAGCAAGGGAGCTCATTGATTATTAATAAGATAAGTCCCATCAGATCGCTGACTCATTTTGTCTCATGACATGGTTACTATTAGCTTATATTTCTGCAATATGACATCCTTGAATATTGACAAAAACGCTATTTTCAGCGACTGCTTACTCATTGCGTCATCCATGTGTAACACTCGGAAGCGATCGTGCGGAAATACCATTCGGAATCGTTCGAGTTTTTTAGGTAAAGGTTCAAACGATATGTGCGAATGTTAACTTTTGCGATTTGGTAAGCTGTGTGCTGACTGGTGTGTCGAAATGGTTAGCTGAAGCTTCTACTGGGGTTTGTTAGACTCAGTATAGCAGTGTAACGAATAATACTGAGCCTAAGTTTACTTAGACTGATCACTGCCTTTGACATCTGCATGTCCAGCTCGGCATGTCCCTGATGGAAAAGGAAGCAGCCTTGTTGGATTTGTTGTATCTTTCTTTAACTAACTAGTTAAGGCGTATGACTTAGGTGGGACAATGTGACATGTTTAGCATTCACACAAGTGTTAGAAGATGAAAAGTTGGCATAACTGCAACATGTACTTTAGTTCTTACTGTGTGCAATTCAATATTAATTGAATAGGTTAATGAACAGTGATTAACTTAACCTTATAAGTAAAACTGACTATCTTAATGAGAATGATTGACATACATTTTATGAACTGAACATGGACACATTGTAAAAGAAATTGTCTTGTTCATTGAACTTATTAATGCCGTTTTATGGACAAAGCAATGATGCATAATGATTGGCCAGGTCCGCGTTTGTCTCAACGTTAAACGATTCACTCATTGTTGTTGAAAATAAAATCAATTTATGTTCGAAAAAATTATTGTGATGACATGATATCTAACTGTAACTATATTTCTACAAGAATTCTACAAAATAAATTTCAACCATGCCATATCTTCCTTTGGACAAAGTTTACATCCCTTTAGACCAAAGGTAGCTTGTGCAACGGACGTAACTTTTTGTTAGGTTACCTTAAGGTTAACCTTAGTTACTAAGTTCAACCTTAGTAAAGGTTGTTTTGTACAACGGCCCCCAGGACTTCACTTGTGCTCTGATGCTAGGCTGTAATATGATTTGACTGTAAAGACATTTTAACGTGTCATCTCTAATAATAACAGTTTACAATATCCCAATTATGTACCTTATATATACAACCGATGTTTTGTTGGTTTACGACGCCCTCAGCAATATTCCCTGGATATATTGGCAGTCTGTACATAATCGGAGTCTGGACCAGATAATCCTGTGACTGAAATGAGCATCGATCTGAGAAGCTTGCCTGTGATGCATCAAACAAGTTAACTCGGGTGATCACCTGATCCCTCTAATCATCTCACGCGACAAGCATGGGTTGCTGAAGACGCATTTTTACCTGAATATTCGCGGGTGTATACGACCATATGTAACTAAACTGGATATTGTACAAAAGAGTCATGGATGAGGCTTGAGTTTACCGGGATGTGTATAAGAGAAAATAAGGCGTTCGTTTGACGAAACCATCACATATTCAATTTGACATGAAGAATTATACATATTGGTGTGTCGAAAAGGTTAGCTGAAGCTTCTACTGGGATTTGTTAGACTCAGTATAGCAGTGTAACGAATAATACTGAGCCTAGGTTTACTTAGACTGATCACTGCCTTTGACATCTGCATGTCCAGCTCGGCATGTCCCTGATGGAAAAGGAAGCAGCCTTGTTGGATTTGTTGTATCTTTCTTTAACTAACTAGTTAAGGCGTATGACTTAGGTGGGACAATGTGACATGTTTAGCATTCACACAAGTGTTAGAAGATGAAAAGTTGGCATAACTGCAACATGTACTTTAGTTCTTACTGTGTGCAATTCAATATTAATTGAATAGGTTAATGAACAGTGATTAACTTAACCTTATAAGTAAAACTGACTATCTTAATGAGAATGATTGACATACATTTTATGAACTGAACATGGACACATTGTAAAAGAAATTGTCTTGTTCATTGAACTTATTAATGCCGTTTTATGGACAAAGCAATGATGCATAATGATTGGCCAGGTCCGCGTTTGTCTCAACGTTAAACGATTCACTCATTGTTGTTGAAAATAAAATCAATTTATGTTCGAAAAAATTATTGTGATGACATGATATCTAACTGTAACTATATTTCTACAAGAATTCTACAAAATAAATTTCAACCATGCCATATCTTCCTTTGGACAAAGTTTACATCCCTTTAGACCAAAGGTAGCTTTGTGCAACGGACGTAACTTTTGTTAGGTTACCTTAAGGTTAACCTTAGTTACTAAATTCAACCTTAGTAAAGGTTGTTTTGTACAACGGCCCCAGGACTTCACTTGTGCTCTGATGCTAGGCTGTAATATGATTTGACTGTAAAGACATTTTAACGTGTCATCTCGAAGTGTACAATTGTATCAACAATCTTAAAAATTGTCGAATTAGGCGTGAAATATACAACATTACCTGGTACAGGAAATCCTGTCAAATGGACCAGGAAGAACAACGTCGCAAGCTTCATGTCTTTGCTGGTTCAACTCACACCGTACACTGATACAAACTATAACTGCGCAGTTAAAATAACCGTTTTCAAGCTGCACAGATAATACACGCCTATAGGTAGAATTGAAATCTTATAGCTTTACATAGCCTGGAAATCATCTACCACGACGAAAACATTGAAGGACGACAATGTTGTACCGTAAATATCGTGTGTATGTACCAGAGTTTCGTCCGATAAGGGCAAATTCACCAATCTAGATTCATCAGTCGATCCCTAATAATAACAGTTTACATTATCCCAATTATGTACCTTATATATACAACCGATGTTTTGTTGGTTTACGACGCCCTCAGCAATATTCCCTGGATATATTGGCAGTCTGTACATAATCGGAGTCTGGACCAGATAATCCTGTGACTGAAATGAGCATCGATCTGAGAAGCTTGCCTATGATGCATCAAACAAGTTAACTCGGGTGATCACCTGATCCCTCTAATCATCTCACGCGACAAGCATGGGTTGCTGAAGACGCATTTTTACCTGAATATTCGCGGGTGTATACGACCATATGTAACTAAACTGGATATTGTACAAAGAGTCATGGATGAGGCTTGAGTTTACCGGGATGTGTATAAGAGAAAATAAGGCGTTCGTTTGACGAAACCATCACATATTCAATTTGACATGAAGAATTATACATATTGGTGTGTCGAAAAGGTTAGCTGAAGCTTCTACTGGGGTTTGTTAGACTCAGTATAGCAGTGTAACGAATAATACTGAGCCTAGGTTTACTTAGACTGATCACTGCCTTTGACATCTGCATGTCCAGCTCGGCATGTCCCTGATGGAAAAGGAAGCAGCCTTATTGTTGGATTTGTTGTATCTTTCTTTAACTAACTAGTTAAGGCGTATGACTTAGGTGGGACAATGTGACATGTTTAGCATTCACACAAGTGTTAGAAGATGAAAAGTTGGCATAACTGCAACATGTACTTTAGTTCTTACTGTGTGCAATTCAATATTAATTGAATAGGTTAATGAACAGTGATTAACTTAACCTTATAAGTAAAACTGACTATCTTAATGAGAATGATTGACATACATTTTATGAACTGAACATGGACACATTGTAAAGAAATTGTCTTGTTCATTGAACTTATTAATGCCGTTTTTTATGGACAAAGCAATGATGCATAATGATTGGCCAGGTCCGCGTTTGTCTCAACGTTAAACGATTCACTCATTGTTGTTGAAAATAAAATCAATTTATGTTCGAAAAATTATTGTGATGACATGATATCTAACTGTAACTATATTTCTACAAGAATTCTACAAAATAAATTTCAACCATGCCATATCTTCCTTTGGACAAAGTTTACATCCCTTTAGACCAAAGGTAGCTTGTGCAACGGACGTAACTTTTTGTTAGGTTACCTTAAGGTTAACCTTAGTTACTAAATTCAACCTTAGTAAAGGTTGTTTTGTACAACGGCCCCCAGGACTTCACTTGTGCTCTGATGCTAGGCTGTAATATGATTTGACTGTAAAGACATTTTAACGTGTCATCTCGAAGTGTACAATTGTATCAACAATCTTAAAAATTGTCGAATTAGGCGTGAAATATACAACATTACCTGGTACAGGAAATCCTGTCAAATGGACCAGGAAGAACAACGTCGCAAGCTTCATGTCTTTGCTGGTTCAACTCACACCGTACACTGATACAAACTATAACTGCGCAGTTAAAATAACCGTTTTCAAGCTGCACAGATAATACACGCCTATAGGTAGAATTGAAATCTTATAGCTTTACATAGCCTGGAAATCATCTACCACGACGAAAACATTGAAGGACGACAATGTTGTACCGTAAATATCGTGTGTATGTACCAGAGTTTCGTCCGATAAGGGCAAATTCACCAATCTAGATTCATCAGTCGATCCCTAATAATAACAGTTTACATTATCCCAATTATGTACCTTATATATACAACCGATGTTTTGTTGGTTTACGACGCCCTCAGCAATATTCCCTGGATATATTGGCAGTCTGTACATAATCGGAGTCTGGACCAGATAATCCTGTGACTGAAATGAGCATCGATCTGAGAAGCTTGCCTATGATGCATCAAACAAGTTAACTCGGGTGATCACCTGATCCCTCTAATCATCTCACGCGACAAGCATGGGTTGCTGAAGACGCATTTTTACCTGAATATTCGCGGGTGTATACGACCATATGTAACTAAACTGGATATTGTACAAAAGAGTCATGGATGAGGCTTGAGTTTACCGGGATGTGTATAAGAGAAAATAAGGCGTTCGTTTGACGAAACCATCACATATTCAATTTGACAAGAAAAATTATACATACTGGTGTGTCGAAAAGGTTAGCTGAAGCTTCTACTGGGGTTTGTTAGACTCAGTATAGCATGAAAAATTATACATATTATTTAACCAATATGTTTAATTTTCCACATTAATCATCTTGCCATTGTCTCCCGACAGCGTGGAGCCTTGCTCATAAATGACTGCTTTGCCATGTTCAAATCGATTTTGTATGGGTAGCCATTATATATAGGTGGAATATGTCTGATTGCTCATTTAAAGAAAAAAATAGCTTCACAGAGGTGTATCTGCCGGAGAAGCAACATAAAACCAAAACGTAGGGACATTATGCGAATGAATAACTAGTAGTAATAGGCCATGTTGTTTTGTTTTCATGAGGTCGTCAGTTGGTTACAATCCGGTATAAACCAAGAATAGTTTTTTATGTAGCGTAATTGTCATTTCTATTTATGCCCACAGCTTTCCAGGAAAGCAATCTTCCAGAGAGAGAACCCCAACCTCTTTTGTCCGACAAGTGTATATGAGCACAAAAGATTTCATTTAAGTACATAATAGGGCACAACGTATCGCGCTGTAACTCCACGCCCAGTATTCATGCTCCAAAAGCACTGTCAATAAGTGTCAATATTGCTTTGATAGATGGGTCAATAACTGGGATTTAAAAAGGGGCTTACCTTTTGTTCGAGACAGTTCACATACTCACCATACTCACTCACTCTGATTCGTTTAAAGATATATCATTCCATGGTCTCATGTCGTTCCTCGTGATCGGAGAATTACTGTAAATTACTCATCGGTGATTTACTGTTAACTAATACTGATTCTCAGTGAAGTAAATGTTCATTACACATGAATATTGTAGATTGTTCATTGTGACCAACTGATCCTCAGTTTTGTATACGCTCATTACACACGCATGTTGTAGATTGTTCATTGTGACCAACTGATCCTCAGTTAAGTAAATGTTCATTACACATGCATATTGTAGATTGTTCATTGTGACCAACTGATACTTAGTTTAGTATATGCTCATTACACACGCATGTTGTAGATTGTTCATTGTGACCAACTGATCCTCAGTTTAGTATATGCTCATTACACACGCATGTTGTAGATTGTTCATTGTGACCATCTGATCATCAGTTACGTAAATGTTCATTACACAAGCATATTGTAGATTGTCCATTGTGACCAACAGATCCTCAGTTTAGTATATGCTCATTACACACGCATGTTGTAGATTGTTCATTGTGACCAACTGATCCTCAGTTAAGTAAATGTTCATTACACAAGCATATTGTAGATTGTCCATTGTGACCAACTGATCCTCAGTTTAGTATATGTTCATTACACATGAATATTGTAGATTGTTCATTGTGACCAACTGATGCTCAGCTTAGTGTATGCTCATTACACACGCAGGTTGTAGATTGTTAATTGTGACCAACTGATCCTCAGTTTAGTATACGCTCATTACACACGCATGTTGTAGATTGTTCATTGTGACCAACTGATCCTCAGGTAAGTAAATGTTCATTACAAAAGCATATTGTAGATTGTCCATTGTGACCAACTGATCCTCAGTTTAGTATATGCTCATTACACATGCATGATGTAGATGGTTCATTGTGACCAACTGATCCTCAGTTAAGTAAATGTTCATTACACATGCATATTGTAGATTGTTCATTGTGACCAACTGATACTTAGTTTAGTATATGCTCATTACACACGCATGTTGTAGATTGTTCATTGTGACCAACTGATCCTCAGTTTAGTATATGCTCATTACACACGCATGTTGTAGATTGTTCATTGTGACCATCTGATCATCAGTTACGTAAATGTTCATTACACAAGCATATTGTAGATTGTCCATTGTGACCAACAGATCCTCAGTTTAGTATATGCTCATTACACACGCATGTTGTAGATTGTTCATTGTGACCAACTGATCCTCAGTTAAGTAAATGTTCATTACACAAGCATATTGTAGATTGTCCATTGTGACCAACTGATCCTCAGTTTAGTATATGTTCATTACACATGAATATTGTAGATTGTTCATTGTGACCAACTGATGCTCAGCTTAGTGTATGCTCATTACACACGCAGGTTGTAGATTGTTAATTGTGACCAACTGATCCTCAGTTTAGTATACGCTCATTACACACGCATGTTGTAGATTGTTCATTGTGACCAACTGATCCTCAGGTAAGTAAATGTTCATTACAAAAGCATATTGTAGATTGTCCATTGTGACCAACTGATCCTCAGTTTAGTATATGCTCATTACACATGCATGATGTAGATGGTTCATTGTGACCAACTGATCCTTAGTTTAGTATATGCTCATTACACACGCATGTTGTAGATTGTCCATTGTGACCAACTGATCCTCAGTTTAGTATATGCTCATTACACATGCATGATGTAGATGGTTCATTGTGACCAACTGATCCTTAGTTTAGTATATGCTCATTACACACGCATGTTGTAGATTGTTCATTGTGACCAACTGATCCTCAGTTTAGTATATGCTCATTACACACGCATGTTGTAGATTGTTCATTGTGACCAACTGATCCTCAGTTTAGTATATGTTCATTACACATGCATGTTGTAGATGGTTCATTGTGACCAACTGATCCTCAGTTTAGTATATGCTCATTACACACGCATGTTGTAGATTGTTCATTGTGACCAACTGATCCTCAGTTTAGAATATGCTCATTACACACGCAGGTTGTAGATTGTTCATTGTGACCAACTGATCCTCAGTTTAGTATATGCTCATTACACACGCAGGTTGTGGATTGTTCATTGTTACCAACAGATCCTCAGTTTAGTATATGCTCATTACACACGCAGGTTGTAGGTTGTTCATTGTGACCAACTGATCCTCAGTTTAGTATATGCTCAGTACATACGCATGTTGTAGATTGTTCATTGTGACCAACCGATCCTCAGTTTAGTATATGCTCATTACACACGCATATTTGGAGTATTCGTACATACGTTTCTAAGCGGCATTTTATAAGTTGGTAAGTACAATTTCACAATGGCACAAGAGTGAGTGTGTGAGTGAGTTAAAATATTAAAGTCACATCGGCAGTATTTCAGCCATATCGTGACTAAGAAAGTTGTAAATGTATAAATGAATAAAAACAAGCTTGTATAATATACTTACCTGTCTGCAAAGGACAGTAAAACGACTAGATTATTACAGGAATAAATGTAAGACTAGTACTAGTAGTAATTAAATCTAAAATATTTTAACTATAAATGACAATACAATGTAAAAAGAGGCAAAAGATTGCCAACAACTGTGGAACGATCACCATACTAGGGCCCATGGGGACTTACAGTACATTTGCTTCCTGCACTGGCCACAACGACACAAGAATCTGTACCGCAACCTCGCACTCACTTTACCCATAAAGTTTGTTTAATATTGTACATATGTTGGATTTTCTTTAGCAACTCTGTTTTCCAAGATCAAAATAATGTTGCGCGTCTCATGAGCATCGCTATGATCGACCATTCACTAAACCAGACGTGCTGACATTTTGACTGTCCACAAAATGTCCCTCACGACAATCTCAAAAGCCTACTATAACCCACACACTGTGTAAAATTTATAAGTCATCCCATCAATATCCCATGACAAGAGCATCATACAAACCTGTTTGTAAACTGACGTACTAAAGAAAGTACACACATGGTGTTTGGGGATTATTTGAAAAGTGTTGTGATTTTGACTGACAACTTCGCAATTGGGAACGATATCTGTGGGGTTTTGGCAACATAATAGGCATGTCTGTGACTTATATATCACTGTAAAAACTCTTTCAAAACATTTCCGTTGCTTTTTGGAAAATAATTCAAAAGCACCAGGTGTGTACTTTCTTTTGTACGTCAGTTTATTACTAGATGTTACACTTTCAGCAATCCAATCTCATCACATGCAACATATTAAAAAATGCTCTCGTCTACAGTACATCTAGAAAGCAAAACATGAACAGGTTTATGACAAGCTGATTGAAACGCAAAAATATGTTCATAGTTATAAGTTCATAATGGTATAATTATGCATTTTCATGTTACGAGCATGAAAATTGGCAGATATGTTGCTTATACTATAAAAATAAGATACAGATAGGGAGGCATTGAAAATTCAAGATGCCCACCATTTTTCGCTCAAAATTACACCGTCAGTGACTTAGATTCTATGTAAATTCCAGACTTTTCATACAAGATGCATGAATTAGGGCAGATATGATGCTTGTACTATAAATATAATATACAGATAGGGAGACATTGAAAATTCAGGTGGTCACCATTTTTCAAGATGG